GTTCGGCCTTCATTCGAGTTACAGTAATTCCTCTCAGCTACATTGCCCTTGATCAAGCCCCACCAGGCATCCTATACCCTCCTCGCCATTGATTTTAGATCACTTGTTGTTCCCTTGTCCCTGGGTTTGTAAGGACCCCCCTTCCTTTCCCCTGCCTCCCCCTCTCCCGTGTTCCCCCAGAGCCGTAGGTCCCATTGTTTTCTCCTCCAGATTGTTTATCACGCCTATGTTATCTAGACAGACATGCAGAGACAATAATAAGCACAAAAACAAGACAAAGCAAAACAAAACACCAAAAGAAAATAAATAACAACAAAAGAAAAGCCTATACATAGTTTCAGGTCTATTTGTTGACCTATATGAGTGTTTTCTAGTCAAGTCTGATGGGGTACCACATCCTGGCCCCAAGTCTATTTTTGGTATTCCTTGGGAACTTCTTTGCTTTGCTCCCCTTGCTACTCTGTTGCACACCCTTAGTGTTTTGCCCCATGTGGTGGGGTCAGATGGAGCACAATTCCCGCACTGTGTCTCCAGTGTTGGTCCCTATAGCACACTATAGGTCAGTGAGGGACATCATGTCTCGTGGTAGGGCAGGCCCTATGGTCTTCTCTGTGCATTGGCTGCTCTGAGTAGGAATATCATCCTCGGGGCTTGGTGGGCCAGGATGTGTTCCACTCTCTCCTTCCGTCTTTGTTTGCTCCTGTGTGCTCTGATCAGACGCACGCCTCTCCCTGAGATGTAGCTTCAGTGCTATCCTCTGAAGTACATTCTTCTGGGGGTGGGGGGTGGGGTGGTGTCCAAGTAGTTGGGATTGGGGCCAGCCCTGCAGACCTGTCAGTTCGTTCGCTGCTTCCTGCTGGTATGCAAAACCCCAACCTTTCAATTAATAGCTGTGTGCTTAATCATTAGTACCACTCATTTAAAAGAAAAGCAGTATAAACTAGAAATGAGGAGAAGCCACATGACTTACCAATACACGAATATTAAAATGTCACAGATTGTTCTATCAGTAGGATTTTAAAGGCTTATATGGAAACTCTGTAGCAATTTAAGAGTTAAAACACAGTAAGAGATCATTAATATACAAAAATAGGGACCAACCTAGAATTTTTTTAAGAAAGAATCCCAACTTGTTTTATAGAGAACAGTCTTGTTAGCCTTTTTCAAAGCAGCAAATCGATACTTTTTAATTTTTGCTTTAAAAAGGACTTTAACTTAGATTACCAAAAGAGAGCAAAGCGATACTTCCAATATATATATCAAGCTAAGCCTGCAATGATTGGATTTTCTGGAATGATATAGGTGTCAAAGGAGGTCTGGTCATGTAATGGTTACG